AGGTTAGGACTTGCCTTTCCTCCTTGGTCGCTATCCCAGTGTCCTGGGTGCTTGGGATTCAAAACTAAACTAAAATTTCTTAGTTGTTGAGAAATGTTAAGGTTGAAATAGTAGATCAGGGCACATCTGCGTGGAGACCATCACACCAACTGAGAACCACAATAGGAGAAGAAGAATGGTAAAGGGGGAATCTCTTCCCTGTTTGTGAATTAAATAGTCCGATAACACCTTTAGGGTAATACAGAATTAGGGTTGGCGCCCTACGCCTGCACGGCTAGGTTGGGGAGAAAACAGAGCTCCAGATGTGGAGCCAGGAAGACCCGGGTTGAGTTTTCAGCTGTGCTCTGGACCAGCAACCGCCGTAGCAGTAACACCCACCACATGCACCGATCCCCATCCACCTCAAAGAATGACACATTGTAGTAGAGGGAAAGAGTCAACAGCCAATAAATGCAACAGGTAAGTTAATTATGTAAATAAAAAATCAAAAGTAAGTGCAAAAAATAAATAAGTGCATCTATTATGGTAAAAAGTGATAATTGCTGGGAGGCTGAGGCGGGTGGATCACGAGGTCAAGAGATTGAGACCATCCTGGTCAACATGGTGAAACCCCGTCTATTAAAAATACAAAAATTAGCTGGGCGTGGTGGCGGGTGCCTGTAATCCCAGCTACTCGGGAGGCTGAGGCAGGAGAATTGCCTGAACCCAGGAGGCGGAGGTTGCGGTGAGCCAAGATCGCGCCATTGCACTCCAGCCTGGGTAACAAGAGCGAAAATCCATCTCAAAAAAAAAAAAAAAAGTGATAATTGCTATAGAAAAAAATAGGGGTGTGCCTACTAGTTTATTTATGAAAATTGGCTTAAACATTTTTCAGAAAGCTGTCTCCTGGAAAAACAAGTAGTCTCTTACCTTTATACATTTCCAGGGACAAGATGTGGTAACTACTGCTTATCTGATGATGACATCAAGTCAAAATTTATACGATGGCGGCTCATTCCCAGCAGCACAGAAACTCTCCCAGCAGTTCCCCTATTTTACCATCACAGCTGATCACCTAGTTGTGTGTTTCTTTATCTCAGCCTCTCTGCACCTCTGTGTTACATGAAGAGACGAGGTGGCATGTTGTTTTAGTAGCTTGATACACACCACAGCCAGAATTCCGGAACACAGTTTACACACTTTACAGCTAAATGTTTAGGCCTCAAGAACAGGAATGAAATACTTTGCTTTCAACACTGCTTCCTTCATGGGAAGGAGAAATCTCACCCCTGGCCCTGGTAAAACACAAGCCCTGGAACAAAGCAGAGGCCTGGTAGAAGGAATTGTTTGCTCTGTTAGCTTAGCTCGAGGCCAAATAGAGGGAATTTGTTATCAAGCCAGGCAGGCGCACTTGAGACTGGCATTTGGGATTGAGCCTCAGGATGGGTCTATTTTGACCTGGTTTCTTTCAACTGATTGCTCAATCCTGGCTTATTGCTTCTTAAGTCTTAAGAATTTTAGAATTCAGGCAGCCAGTAATGGTTTACAATAAAGACTGGGCACTTTGGGAGGCCGGGGCAGGTGGACCTGAGGTCAGGAGTTTGAGACCAGTCTGGCCAACATGGGGAAACCCCATCTCTACTAAAAATACAAAAATTAGCTGGGTGTGGTGGCATACACCTGTAATCCCAGCTACTGGGGAGGCAGAGGCAGGAGAATCTCTTGAACCCGAGAGGGGGAAGTCGCAGTGAGCTGAGATTGCGCCACTGCACTCCAGCCTGGGCGACAGAGCAAAACTCTTTCAAAATAAAACAATAAATAAAAAGAATTTGGCTTGTGATTTCCTTGTTCCTTCATTGTAAATGTTAGGACATGCCTTTCCTCCTTGATCTCTGTCTATTCCATCCAGCCCTTCCCACCTCCCTCACCCCCTTCCAGCAGGAGTTTCTAATTCAACATGTGCCATGATATACAAAATTCTACTTTTGTCTACTGGGGGTTCTAACTCAACATGAGATTTGGGCAAAGAGAAATATACAAACTATATCACTGCCTTAGAAAACCCTTGTCTGTCAGCCAGTGAGGAGTTCTGGTCTTAAGCACGAGCTGCCCAGTTCTTGCTTGACGCTTTGCAATGAACGCCTCACCTTTTCTTGCTGTAAATCCTGGTGTTGGCGTTTAGCTTTGCTGTGGCAGGTAGGTTGGCCCAGGTTCTGTTTGGCAGTGTTATCTTCTGCTTCCTCCTGTGCTCAGCACCTCGCAGTGGCTTCCATTTGACGTGGAGTAAAAGCCAATGCTCCCCTATGCACCTCTCTGACCTACCTCCAATGGTGCCCTCTCCTCAGCCCCGCCTCTCCAGCCACCCTGTCCTCCTGCTGGTTCCTCAACACCTCTGGCACGCTCCCACCTCATGGATTAGGACATTCCCTGTCAATTGCTGGCCTGGCCAAGGACTCCTCGTGCTCGTTCTCAAGGTAGGGGGCTTAGGTTCCAGCCTTTTGTAGACTCCCATGCAGCTGTGTCCATCTGGGGGGAGCTAGATGGACCATCTGGTCACCTCCAGGGGGCTCCTGTCAGAAACTTGCGGTGTGGAGAAGGGAGAAGCCCCATTTCGCTAGAAGAGGAGGAGCCCCCAGACCTGCCCCTCTCAGCCTGGCTGCTGTGAGAATCCTCCTGAGAGAATCCACCCACTTAAAAAATGCCCTGTCTGGGCCGGCGCGGTAGCTCATGCCTGTAATCCCAGCACTTTGGGAGTCTGAGTCAGGTGGATCATGAGATCAGGAGTTCAAGACCAACCTGGCCGATATGGTGGACTCCCTGTCTCTACTAAAAATACAAAAAATTAGCTGGGTGTGGTGGCAGGCACTTGGAATCCCAGCTACTCAGGAGGCTGGGGCAGGAGAATTGCTTGAACCAGGGAGGCGGAGGTTTCAGTGAGCCGAGGTCCTGCCATTGGACTCCAGCCTGGGCAACAGAGCAAAGCTCTGTCTCAAAACAAAACAAAACCAAAAAAATCTCTCTGTGCCCCACCCTAGGCCAAATGAAATTGGAATCTCTGAGGACAGAGCCTGAGTGATGGGTATTTTTTTCAATTTTCTGGATTATTTTAAATACACCCAGTATTCACATCCAGTGGCCTAGGACAAACGCCTCCTGGGAGAAAGAACACACATGTCCTTCCTCTCCTCCCACAGGCAGCCAGAAAGGATAAACAAATGAGCAAACAAGGCACTAATTTCTTCTTTTCTCCATGTCTAAGCCTGTTGTTGAAAAGATGCAGAAGATACCATTTTGCTTACTTCCTTAATTAAATCCTTAGGTTAAAATTTTAGATACGAAGTTACAGGATATTTTCGAGACTTTAAAAAACTCAGTTTCACTAAAAGTGGAAAAGGAGTGATTGTTTTAATTCTGGAAATTTTCAGTTTAAAATATTTGATCGTTGGTAGATGAAGAATAGTTTCTCGTGTATGTAATATGTATTTCTTGACTGTTCCCTATATGCCATTGCTCCACTGGACAGTGTTACTTTAATTTGAAAGTGTGTTGATCTTCACTGAGATTCAGCATCTTTTCATATACCTGGTAGCTAATTATAATTCCTTTTTTTTTTTTTGAGGCAAAGTCTCACTCTGTTGCCCAGGCTGGAGTGCAGTGGCGTGATCTTGGCTCACTGCAACCTCTGCCTCCTGGGTTCAAGTGATTCTCCTGCCTCAGCCTCTCAAGTAGCTGAGACTATAAGCATGTGCCACCACACCCAGCTAATTTTTTTTATTTTTAGTACAGATGGGGTTTCATGTTAGCCAGGATGGTCTCGATCTCCTGACCTCATGATCTCCCCACCTTGGCCTTCCAATTCTTTTGTGTAAAGCTCACTCTAGCTGTGGTAAAAGTGGATGGTGGAAAGGGGAGGGGGCCAGAACGGCAGACAGAGATCTGTCCAGAGGCCATTGCAGTGGTGCAGGTGTGAGAAGCGGGGCCCATGAGAAGGGGTCAGGTTTGGGTTGTATTGCAGGGGTGGGGCTAATAGCATTTCCTGATGGATTTCATGTGAACTGTGAAGGAAATTGATAGTTTTCAGGCTGAGCAACTGAGTGGGTGCTGGCCTCATTTTCTGAGCTGGAGAAGGCAGGAGCCTGAGGTATAGTGGCTGGGAGGAGGGGCTGGTGGCTGGTCTTGCTCAGCTGGAAGCTCAGGAGAGCTGGGCCAAGTTTCCAGGCCTGCCTGTCCTAGGGGCTGGGAGAGACGTGCTGTGTGGTAGAAGCTGGTTCAAGGGATCAGTCTCTCCCTGCAGGTGAGGAGGGACTCACAGCAGCAGAAGCCTGTTCTTTCCACAGCCTAAGAAAGTTCTTTCCACTATCTTTCATATATGTTTGGTGAAGATTTTTCCCTGCTTCTCTGTTTTCTGATTTTTAAAATGGAATCTTAGAAGCAGTTCTCTTTATTTAAATACATATACATTATACATTTGAAATAGAACGTGGCATGATGGAGAAGGATGGAGATTTGCTAATTTATGTCTATACTCTTGGACTTGTATCATGTTTCCAAATCTTTGTAAATATATGTTGCAATGAACATTTTTGTGTAAATGTGTGTGTGCTTACATATTTGTTAAATTATCCCTTAGGGTAGATACATTTCCAGGATTTCAGTTGCTGCTTCAGAAGATAAAAAGTATAAGGTCATTTCATTGATCCTTTTTTTTAGTCCCTGATACCTCATTGAATCCAGGGCTAAGTTCAGTCCTCCTGCTGCTGCTCCAGACGGCTCCCCTTTCTCCCTCTCCCATCAGGACCCCTAATCTCCCCCATTCCCCCAGTGCTCCTTCTCAGAGCCACACTTCCTCTCACTACCAGGCAACCCCTACCCTTCTGGAAGTCCACCAGTCATTTTTTTTTTTTTTTGCCCAGGCTGGAACGCAATGGCATGATCTCGGCTCACTGCAACCTCCGCCTCCTGGGTTCAAGTGATTCTCCTGCCTCAGCCTCCTGAGTAGCTGGGATTACAGGTATGCACCACCACACCCAGCTAATTTTGTATTTGTTAGTAGAGGTGGGGTTTCTCCATGTTGGTCAAGCTGGTGTTGAACTCCTGACCTCAGGTGATCCCCCTGCCTCGGCCTCCCAAAGTGTTGGGATTACAGGTGTGAGCCACTACACCTGGCCCCACCAGTATTTTAACACATCCCTTGTATTTGCACTGAAGCCACCATTGAGGATATTCAGAATTTTGTAGTGGAGTCTGGTTAGAAAACTAACAGAGTACTAATAATATTTAGAAGTATTATGTAATAGAGGAAAGGTTATGGGGGTCAGAGAGATCTAAGTGTGTATTTTAGTCTTATCCCTTACTAGCTAAAATATAAGGAAATTTTAAGCCTGTGGGTATGTGCTTTAAAAATTACCTTGGGCAAGTCACTGATGCTCTGTGTGAGCCTCAAGTGCTCAATTAAAATGGATAGAATAATCACCATCTCCTAGGATTTCATGAGGGGTGCATGAAAGAGCATGTGAAACGCACAGGCTCATATCTGGTGTGCAATAGCCTTGATTTATTTTTCTTTGCTTTCCTTCGATACATTTTCCCTTGCTCGCGTCATCTTAGAAATTATGGCTAATATTAGAGCTCTTTGTATCCTCAGTAAAAAAAGACACGGACTGAGATAACATTTTACTACAGAATCGGCCGAGGTTTGCGTTGCTCCTCAAATTTAGGAAGCACATTAGTTAGAGGCTGAATGGTAACGCTCTTTTTTCTGAGCCACAGTGGAAAAAGCTGGAGGTTTCCTTTATCACTCTGATGGTATTCTGCTTCCTTCACCAATGCAATTCCATTATTGCAGTGAAGAAAATGCACGATACCTGGATGAAAGGGGACTCCATGGAATGTGAAGTTGTTTGAAATGGTGTGAGTGGCATCATTAAGATGCCACATTTTCATTTCATTTCTCTTCAGCTTGCAAACACTTCGGTAACCTGCAAAGATGCTGGAGCCAGTGGGGCAGGGAGTCCAGCCAGGAGGTCCAAATGCCATTTCCACACCAGGATTACTAATGGGCATCGTCCTCTTCAAACCACTAAGCTTCTTTAATTTTGGGGAGACAACAAAAATGAACCAACACAATAATGTAGTTCTAACCTGTGAGAAAAGTGATGTCAGCCAAACCCAGTGTCCTTGAGCCAGGCTGACCTTCCCAGCACTATAAGGGCAGTTGCCAGATAGGCACCTAGCAGTGCGTCAGCTCAGTGGGCTCAGTTCTGGATGCTAAATTCCAGTTCTACGCTTGACGCCCCTGGCTTCTGCCAGGACTCGATCTCACAGTGTCAGCCCCACATTTGCTTTTGCAAGATCATGGATCTTGTGTTTGAACTTTGTTTTTCCAACTTTGACACTCACATGGCCTCTGAACTTAAGCTCTGGCCTCCTTCTTCCTGACTGCTTCGAGTAGACCCAAACCTATTTTTTATCTGAGGACAAAATACCTGTCTGGGCTCTAGTCATGCTACCTTAGTTACCTAAATATCAGCAATGCTGATTCCTAACCACCCTGACTATTGTCACCAGAAGGTGCCCTGATGATGTTGGGAAGTCTTGCTCCTTGTCTGGGGCCCAAGGCCCGCTTGAAGTTTGAAGATCCATCTTTAGGTAGGTAGGTAGGGTCATCATTTGCTTAGCAGCCAAACCAAAATGCTGCATACTCCTTGGGTTAGGTAGAATGATGACCCCCAACGATCTCTACATCCCAGGCCCCTGAACCGGTGAGTATATCATGTGACATGGCAAAGGAGAATGAAGTTTGCAGAAGGAATTAAGTTGCTAATCAATTGACCTTATGATTGAGAAATTATTTTAGATTATTGAAGCAAGTCTAATGTAATTATTAGGGTCCTTTAAGGTGGAAGAGGGAAGCAGAAGAGGAGGTCAAAGTGAGAGAGAGATTTGAAGATGCTCCACTGCTGGCTTTGAAGATGGGGAAAGGGACCACAGGGAGGCCTCCAGGAGCTGGAGCAAGCAGAGAAAGATTATTCCCTAGAGCCTCCACGGGACGCAGTCCTGCTGACGACTTGATTTAACCCAGGATGATCCATGTCTGACTTCCTGCCTCTGGAATTGTAAGACAATGTATTTGTATCCTTCAAAGTGACAAGTGGGTGGCCATGTTACAGCAGTAACAGGAAATTAATGTACTCCTCTACAAAGAACTTCTTTTTGTTCCATAATGAATTTTTATAAACGAAACGAAAAAACCATCTTTGAACATGGAAGGTTAAATTGCCACTTAAAATGGCTGGATTACTGAATATAAATTGGTCTTTTTCTAGCCAAAATACTGATGTTTGGAAACCAGAGAGGATCAGCTGCTCCTTCTCTTACTGAGATAGATGGTCAGTAAAAGGAGGTCCCCTTCGATTTTAGACAGAATCTCTGGGAAGGCCCAGTATCCGTTCTGCCTTGATACTGTCTCTGGTCATCTGATGGCAAGGAAAGGTGACTGCAGAGCAAGCAGTTGGTCCAGAAGAGAGTGTGACCCAGTGCCTGGGCAGCCTGGCCTGTCTGCCACCCCAGGTCTCTATAGAGCTCAGAGTAGCCCACCTGAAGCTGTCTCCAGACCCCTCTCAGCAGCCTGAGGGAGAGCAAATGACCACACGCAGAGATGTGTGTTCTAGTTCAGAGTGTCCAAGTTCTTCCTGCCAAAGTCACCTGCTTTTGTACTTGACCCCGGCATGTCCTTGGGGGAGACGTGGTAATGGTGGGAGAGGCCAGGAAAATCTAAAGGAGGAGCTGACTTGGGATTCCCATCCTGCCGGTCACCCAGCAACCTCTGCAGGGTGTGCAAAGCCCTGCCCTGCATCTCCACAGGCAAACTCAGGCTGTAAAATGAACGCAAGGCAGGTGTGGCAATGGGGAAAAGCAGGCAAGGGGAGGAGTAACTGTGTAGCTTGAATAAAATGTTAACTCTTAACCTTTTAACAATTCTAACCTGAAAAATATTGACAGCTAATATGGATAAGGTACGTTGCAATTTCTTATCTCATTTTATTCTCCACCTATTTTATAGTAAAGTGAACATTTACAATGTATCTTAGTCTATTCAGATTCCTATAATAAATATACTGTAGACTGGAGGTCCTAAAGAAAAATGTGTATTTCTCACAGTTCTGGAGGCCGGCAAGTCCAAGATCAACGTGCCAGCTGATTCGGTGCCTTCTTCCTGGTTTCCATTTGGCCATCTTCTCACTGTGTCCTCACATGGTAAAAACAGATCAAGAGAGCTGTAAGGGCATGAATCCTATATGTGAGGGCTCCAGGTTCAGATTAGGGGTTAGTATTTCAACATAGGAATGTTGGGGGTATATATTCAGTTCAGAACACCACGTGACAGGCAATATTCTAAAATATTCATGACCATCTAACTAGTTTAGGTAATAGAGGTTGGATGTGGTGGCAGTTTGGATGGAGTCTGGAGAAGTTGTCCTTTACAATACTGCTTTATGGAAAAGAGGCTTGTTCTGTAAGTGAGGAGTGCATGAGGCTTTCCCCTAATGACTGCTGGTCTGGCCCAGGCTTCCTAGTTGCTCCTGTCAAGTCAGGGGCTTAGGTTGCAGCCCCTTCAGTTCCCACATAGCCATGCCCAGCACAGTCAAGGTCACCTGTGGGGGCTCCTTTCAGAAAACTGCAGTGTGGGGAACAACCCTTCTTGCTGTGTGGGTGAGGAAAACCCAGGTCAATCCTTCTCAGTAGACTCTTTGAGAACTCTTTAAGGAGCTTTAAAAATATCTGTCCCAGGCTCCACCCCAGGTAGTGAACTCAAGTCAGGGTTGTGAAACACTGGCCTCAGAACAGAGGCCTGAAAACCTTTCTGTGTCACATGATGAAAATCTTTTTCTTAACCTCTGACCCAACTAGAGCTGCAGACAAAACAAGCAAATGGACGCACCAAGACACCAGCTGGCTTCTGAAGGTTTCATCTGGTTACATCGAAGATGCAGAAGGTACAACTTTGTTCACATCCTTAGTCAAATTCTTAAACTGGACATTTACATGAAAGTGATAGCTCAAAATATATGAGCATTTCAGAGACTTTTCAGAAATATTTCCTGATTAAAAAAACACATAGTCTCTCCAGAAGTGGGAAGAGTACCATTTCTTTGAGCCTTTGCTAATACCGTACATTTATACTTAAAAAGTTTTGCCACTTTGAAAGTACAATAAATACTCCTTGAGTAATCACTCTGTGCAAAGCGCTACACTGAGCAATGTGTTATTTCAATTTCAAAACGTTTAGTCGTTGGTGAGATTGAGCATCTTTTCAGAAATTCAATATTACACACACATATATATTTTCTATTTGTAAAGCTCACTCTGGCTGTGGCAAGATGATAAACGCACAGTGGGAGGGGACTGGGGGTCCAGAATGGAGACAGGGAGACACATCCAGAGGCCACTGCAGTGCTGCAGGTGGCATCCAAGGGTGGCTGGGCTGGGTGTGAGAAGTGGAGGTGGTGAGAAGGGGGTCACACTTGGGACGTGGGGGAAGGCTAGTAGTGTTTGTTGATGGATATGGGCTATAAGGGGAAAAGGGGAAACAAGGATGACTTGGAGGTTTTCAGGCTGAGCAACTGAGTTGGTGGTGGCCTCATTTCCTTAGGTGGAGGAAGACAGGATGGAATAGGTTAGAGTGGGGAAGGGTGGATCTAGATTTTTCCCCATTGCCACACCTGCCTTGCGTTCATTTTACAGCCTGAGTTTGCCTGTGGAGATGCAGGGCAGGGCTTTGCACACCCTGCAGAGGTTGCTGGGTGACCAGCAGGATGGGAATCCCAAGTCAGCTCCTCCTTTAGATTTTCCTGGCCTCTCCCACCATTACCACGTCTCCCCCAAGGACGTGCCGGGGTCAAGTCCAAAAGCAGGTGACTTTGGCAGGAAGAACTTGGACACTCTGAACTAGAACACACATCTCTGCGTGTGGTCATTTGCTCTCCCTCAGGCTGCTGAGAGGGGTCTGGAGACAGCTTCAGGTGGGCTACTCCGAGCTCTATAGAGACCTGGGGTGGCAGACAGGCCAGGCTGCCCAGGCACTGGGTCACACTCTCTTCTGGACCAACTGCTTGCTCTGCATTCACCTTTCCTTGCCATCAGATGACCAGAGACAGTATCAAGGCAGAACGGATACTGGGCCTTCCCAGATTTCTTTTAAGAGCAAGGTGCCTATTAGACAAGTGGAGATGCTGAGTCAGCAGTTGGATTCACAAGCGTGGAAATCAGGAGGGATTAGATTGAAGACACAGACTTGCAGGCCAGAGCACAGATAGTTTCTAAGGCAGTGAGAATGGTTGGGATCCCTGAGAGAGAGAAGAGATAGAGAAATGAAGACTGAGAACTGGGGCACCTAATAATTTAAAGTTCTGGGAGAGGAGAAGAATCTAGCAAAGGAGAGAGAATGAACAACTGGGGAGTCAAGAGATCTAATGAGTTTGCTGTCAGAGAAACCTAAGCAAAAAATATTTCAGTAGTGTTGGCCAGGCAGGGTGGCTCACACCTGCAATCCCAGCACTTTGGGGGGTGCGAGGTGGGTGGGTCACTTGAGATCAGGAGTTTGAGACCAGCCTGGCTAACATGAGGAAACCCGGTCTCTACTAAAAATACAAAAAGTAACCAGGCATAGCGGTGTGTGCTTGTAATCCCAGCTACCTGGGACACTGAGGTGGGAGAATCCCTTGAACTTGGGAGGCAGAAGTTGCAGTGAGCCCAGATCATGCCGCTGCACTCCAGCCTGGGTGACAGAATGAGACTGTCGCAAATGTCTCAAGAAGAAAAATGTCAGCTGTGTTCAGTGAGATGGGGACAAGAAATCGATGTAAACTTTGACCGTCTGTGTGTTAAGTGCTGCCTTCTTGGTGCAGTAAGGACAGAATCATGATTACAGTAGTTGAAGAGGAGATGGTGACAAATCTCTTGAGAAATTTTGTGTTGAGGGGAACAGATAAGTGGAATAAAATATGTATCTGACCTTGGCATCTGGGAAAGATTTAAGAACAGTATGTTCGTAGGCTTATGGGAATGTTCTTCTCTGTGGGAGAAATGGATGATGGCAGAAGGAGAGGGAATAATGGCAGAGCCTTTTACTTCTCAATGAGAAGTCACGAGAGAGTGGGGTATAGACTACAGGAGGAAGGATTATGTCTGCTTTTTCAGGGCTATTTCTTCGGCAGTGAAAATGGAATAAGGGGTGCAAATGCAGACAAGTTCATGGATCTAATGGGAGATGTGGACGTCCATCTTGCACCCACATATGTTGACTGTTTTGTCTGCAGCACTCTAGGTACCTCAAGGCATGGAGATCAACTTGCTCCTCAGTGCCACTTCCAAGTTACTACACCTTCAAAAACTTCTCTTACCCACTGCAGCCGTCTTCTCCCCCGCACCCTCCTTCTTGAATGCGTGCAGTTAGCACTCGGATCACTGGCTTTCTCTCCATGGTTGCTCAGGTAGAACTTTGGGCAACTCGCTGTGTCCACAAGTTATGAATCCAATAACCTCCTGCTCCAGAGGCTCGATTTCCTCATCTCCGGTGCCCTTGAGGTGAGGTCCACTTCACCCTACTGATAGTGGCAGGAGGCAGTCAAATGCCCAGGCAGATGGGGTGGGTACCCAGCGAAATCACACCTTCAAACCAAAGACAGTTCAAAGCCTGAAGGCCAAGCTACACGTCTTGGACCAGACTGAGAACCTCTCTTCTTGTTTGGTGTGCTCTCCTCTGACTGAGCCCCACCTTTCACCTGTTTGACATATACCTGCCCTTCCCTAATTAGTTTCCTACACTGTGTTTCTTACCCACCTCTGAGTGGTGCCTTTGTTTTAGCCTTCCTTGCATACTCACAAACCAATCAGCAGGTACTCCCCCATTCTGAGCCTATAAAAGCCCTGGACTCAGCTACACTTTTTGGGGACTGCCTGCCTTTTCAGGTGGAGGGAGCTGCCCTCTCTTAATCCTTTCTCTGCTGAGAGCTGTTGCCCAGTAAAACTCTCAGCCCTGCTCACCCTTCAGCTGTCAATGTAACCACATTCTTCTTGGACACAGAACAAGAAATTGAGACCCACTGAATGCGAGTACAAAAAAGGCTGTAACAGCCCGTTTGGGGCTCCGGGGTAGCTGGCATCCCTGTTGAAGCACAGCCACATTCCCCTTGTTGGGATCCCGGGGCACAAGGTGGAGGCAGGTCAAGACATGCCCAGCCTGGCCCAGCTGTGGGCTGAGCGTGGATCCTGTGGTGAACATGGCATCTGGCCAGAGCACAAACCAGGTGTGGCCTTGCTGGCCGAGTGGGCAGGGTGCCTCCTGTTGTAAGCCCAGGGCTGAGTGAGGCTGAGCTGTGGATTTTGGCAGCTGTGGACATCTCCAGCTGGCCAAGCAGCATTGAAAAATCCTGCGTCACTGCCACTTGCTTACAGGGTCATAATGGAGATCAGGGAGTACATCTTTTAAGGAGACTAAGGTAAATCATGTCCTCCAGTGCCAGCCACTTTTCAGTCAGAAGAAAAAAGGGAAAACAGGCTGGGAGAGGTGCCTCTTGCCTGTAATCTCAGCACTTTGGGACCTTGAGATGGGCACATCACCTGAGGTGAGGAGTTTGAGACCAGCCTGGCCAAGATCGTGGAACTCTGTCTCTACTAAAAATGCAACAATTAGCTGGGCATGGTGGCACACATCTGTAATCCCAACACTTTGGAAGGGTAAGGCAGGCGTATCACCTGAGCTCAGGAGTTTGAGACCAGTCTGACCACCATGGTAAAACCCATCTCTACTAAAAATACAAACATTTGCCAGGAATGGTGGCACATGCCTATAATTCCAGCTACTTAGGAGGCTGAGGCAGGAGAATCACTTGGACCTGAGAGGCAGAGGTTGCAGTGAGCCAAGATCACACCACTATTCTCCAGCCTGGGTGACCAGAAGGAGACTTCTCAAAAAAAAAAAAAAAAAAAACGAAAATAACTTTTAGGGTATGGATGGAGATTACAGGGGATTTTGCTGATGATAGGTGGTTAATTTGGGAGGATGAAAAAAGTGGGTGATTAGGTCCAGTCGAGGCACTGCATGTGGGTAGGGTAAGCATGCCTCTGATTATGCTGAAGACTGAAGCAAATGGGATGTTAGGTGTAATGGGATGGGTCCTTCCTTTGAGGAGGGAGGGCCGTCAAAAGGAAGCTGTAGATTATTTAGCTGTTGAGCATGTAAGGAAGGTGTGGGCCCTTCTCAGTAGCAGCTGAAGAGGCAACTCCCAGAGCACTGGTAACCTGGGGAAGGACCAAGGTGGCTGATCTTTCTTTCAGATGTCCTAAGTCCTTGGGGCTGGTTCCCGGTGTCCTCTTGTGGCAGCTAAGCATCTAGTCCGGGTGGCTGGTGTTTCTCTCACTTGAGGATAGGGAATGACTCCTTAGAGCAGATGGAAGGTTTCCCCAGCAGCTTTAGATGTGACTCTCATATATGTTTTGCTTTTTCCTGCTTATTTGTTTTCTGATTTGTTTGTAACTGAACCTTATGCATTAAGCATTTTTCTATTCATATTTTATTTACAATTATATTTTTATGTTATATAATATTGTGTGGTATAAAGCATGAAATGTGCTATTTTGTTTCCTTATTGTTGGATATGTATGCTATTTCCAAATCTTTGCAAATATATGTTACAATGAACATTTCTATGTATATATGTATATTTTATTTGACAAGTTATTACTTATGATAAATTTCCAGGATCAGAATTATTGGATTGAAATGTGGGAAAAGGGCCGGGTACAGTGGCTCACGCCTGTAATCCCAGCACTTTGGGAGGCTGAGGCAAGCGGATCACCTGAGGTCAGGAGTTTGAGACCAGCCTGGCCAATATGGTGAAACCCAATCTCTATTAAAAATAAATAATTAGCTGGGTGTGGTGGCAGGCACCTGTAATCCTAGCCTGGGAGGCTGAGGCATGAGAATCGCTTGAACCCAGGAGATGGAGGTTACAGTGAGCCAACATTGTGCCACTGCACTGCAGACTGGGCCACAGAGGGAGGCTCAGTCTCAAAAAAAAAAAATAAATAAAATAAATAAATAAAACGAAATATATGTAAGGTTTACAGCCGTTTCCATAACGCATTGGTTTTAATCCATGATACATCTAACTCGGGAGGAAGTTGAATTCTCCTTCATGACTCCAGACTGCTCCTCTTTCCTTTATCCATCTCCAGATACAGTTCCTCAGTTTCCTCTGACCCCCAAACATTTCTTTTCAGCACCGTATTTCCTCTGACTAACAGCTGTCACTCTTACTCTCCAGAATTCCATTGGCAAATTTAACAAGTTTGTTAATTCAGATGTTTGTCGAAGCTGCCATGAAGATAGTCAGAAGAGTTTGTTCCCGAATCTGATTTAAACAGTACGGTATTTGGAGGTATCATGTTACAGAGGAACATATTTGAGACCTGGAGAAACCTAAAATTGAATTTCAGCCTTAGCATTTCCTAGCTAAAAATGCTATAAAATATAGGCAAATGTAGATGTGACATGAAAATTACCTTCAGCAAGTCTTTTATACTCTAGGCTTAATGCGTTGAACTATCAAACAACCCTCATGAGGACATCTTCACAGAGTTGTGTGAGACGGAGGCCGATGTGAAAATGCCTTCTGGTATGTCTGGTGTGCGAAAATTATTATTGCTGTTGCTCATTTTTTTCCTGTATTCACTGGCTTTTCATCATTTTTGGAACAAATGACTCGATGTAGCTGTTGGTGGTGTCATTGCCTGTCAGCCAAAACTCCCAAGAAACACATCTGCAGTGGAGCAAATTTGCCTGTGTTACTTGTTGCAGCTAAAGGGACCACACACCATAAGGGAATCGGGAAGCATTTCAGGATTTAAACCTTTAGGTGGTTTTGGGGGTGTTTGAAGATGTAAGGTACTCTCCTGTGTTGGATACTGCCAGGAAGTAAAATTAAATATATGCAGGGACAGCTTAATATTTTACCTAGGAAGTGGCAGAAATGGAATGGAACTGAAGATAGAATCGGCAAAAAGGCAATGGCCACTCATGTTAGCTCAGAGAGGAAGAAATTGGATTGCTTTTTTACAGTATTTCCAGTATTGTGTTTGCACTCAGACATAACTTCCGAGGAATTTGACTTTTATCCGACTCTATCGTGGTCCCACACTGAATTCATCCGACGTCAGTGTTCTGTGAAATTGTTTATCCTCAGTAGACCGTCATGCTCTTGCTGATAGTGCAAGCAAACAGCTTTTGGATGTTTTTCTTCTAATTCTCATTTGGTCAACGGCAGATGAAGTTAGGCCACAGGAAGTTAATCCACGATATTGAAGTTTTTCCCCATTACTGCGATTCTGCCTGTTGGGAGCTGTCCAGAGAACATTCTTTGTTTTTGAACAAGTTAGTACCTCTTATTCCTTTTGTTATCAGACGGGTTGTTGAGTGATCTGACATGACAAAGGCTGTGTGTTTTCGTACAAGATGCATCAGTCAAGTGGTTTCTAGGCAACTGTGAAAGACAACATGACCATTTATTAGTCGTTCAAGTCCAGGGACAAGGTGACTAACCCCAGGCCGTGAAAACATGAGCCAAGGTCCAAGTGGGTCTGCTCTACGGATCAAGGTCATGTGCTTTTCTTTCAGTCTAATCCCAGACTGTTCCGTCTCTCCAATTGTATGTATGTTGGTGACACAGGGAGTGTTTACTATAGCATGAATTCCCCTTAACTAGTAAATTTAACTAGTTTATTTTGGGCCTTCCCATTAGAGGGAGTTTGTACTTAAGAGTAATACTGTATGGGGCACAGACCCCGTTGAATGACAGTCACTTTTACAAAAAAAAAGAAAAGGAAAGAAAAACCAAACCCTCTACTTCTAATTTTACTAATTTTATATGTTATTCCTGTAACAATTACAGGGAAAGATAAACAAACCTTCATGGCTGTATTTAGGTATGTGCATGCATATCAACATAAAAATAAATGAGAAATGTAAATATTTTAACTATGTTGAAATACGTTAAAACAATATATATATTATACCATATCATCTTAATACATTGTAATCACATCAATTATCTTACATCATATTCCTATTTTCTGTAACGATTGCACTAGTCTACTCAACCTGTTAGGTGGTTTTGGGGGGTATTTGAAGAAGCGGGGTACTCTTACAACACTCCAAGGAGCCACTCCAAGAGTTCAGCCGGAACCCAACTCATATAATGTATATTATTTTAGGTAGCCAAAGTAACCAGCGTTCTGCCCCAAACACAAAAGAAAACTGGAAAACTGTTGAATTGTTTTACAATTTTAGCCAATTTCAACAAATTTAAGTTAGCAAAACAAAGGTATGTAATCATAAGTCGTTTGCATACCCTGTTAATTTCTAGCCATCTTAAGAAATAAGGGTCAATTAAAATTTCATTAAGTCTTTTGAATCTCATTATTGCAAATTTTCTAGGTATCAAAGATTATTTATTGATTCAATTTAATATTTGTTTTAGGTCTTAAAGTTGCTAAAGGTTATGATTTTAATTAACGTATTATCTCCTGTTTTGTTTATAATACTAAAAGAAATTTTATAAGATTAAATGCTTTAGAATAGTATCTATTTTTACAATTCAATTTAATTATAGTGACTCTCTTGATGAGACATTCCCATTTCTAGCTCCTTTTCACAGATAAATAAACTAAGTATTTATAAACTATTTAGTACAGTTAGGCGTCATTCTGAGGGGTTCACAACTGAATTTCATTTTGATGCTGTGTTTTTACATTGTGGCTGTTTGATGTGGGTCTAGACGATGACTCCCTTTTGTGATTTCATCTTATGGATAAGTTTTGCTACATATGCTGACTGTAAGTGAGCCGCTTTGACGAATATTAGGTATGTTTTAAAGAAAAGAATTCATGTAAATATCTGTTTTTTAAAGCCAATCAATATTTATATAGGTATGAAAGAATGTGTACATTTGCCTTTAAACTATAAAAACAAATACAACATTGAAAGTGAAAGATGCTTTCTGATGCCGATACTTACACTACTCACATTATTGTTGAGGTTATGATGAACTCATAAAACGCAGTTTTTATACTGTTTAAGGGCAAAATAAAAAGTAATTGTATATATAATCATTTTGTAAGTGATATAATTTATAAGTCCCTGAAAATTATAGCTTCATCTAGCAAAAATATAATCTCTTAAGCAGCAGCGGTTGCATAAACTAATAAGGAAAGGGGCACAATTAAATTTTTTTCTAAGTAAGACAAAGGAAAGCTCTGAGTTTCCTGGTATAGTTTTGGAAGCGCAGTAGTTGAATTGTTTGAAGATTGAATTAATTTTGCAGGCACACATTTTTGTTTTCAGGCTGTGAAGTTTGGGGGAGATCTTGATGGTGGCGGCAGTGGTGGGATCCATGCGTGGCATCTGGAAGAAGGAGAGAAAGGAAGAGAAAGAAGGGAGGAGAGAGGAGGAAATGAGGCCGTGAAATATCATACACAGTTCCTTGGATGGACGGAGGAGCAGGGAGAGCACGACCTGGCAGCTTGGGAGGGAGCTGAGCAGAGGGGTGGGGAGCTCTAGCTTTGGTTTTGGGAGGGGCCAGCTGTGCACCAGTGCTCTGTTCAGAAGAGCTGATTGCAGTGGAATGACACGTAGTCCATCTTCTAGCAACTGGACCTTTCCCCGGACCTCAGCTGTCCCCTCTTGTTCTCTTCCTACAGCTCCTCCTAAGGAACTGAGTTGATCTTCAGCTCTCAGGGTTTTTTCTGGTAGGCTCCAGGTTTCTTCTGACATCTTAAAGGCCAATGCTCTTTACGAAAGGTTCTAGCTCCACAGCCTCCTTCCTGTCAGAGCTGAGAATATCAGTGGTTTTGCATTTCTCCTGAATCAGTGGACATGTTTTTCTTCCAGCTGTGTCCCTCTTTTAACATAAAGTTGGATTTCAGCTGATTAACATATCTGACAATAAAAAGGTATGAAAAGTCCAAATATGGCTGCACATGTCCCAAGAGGCTGAGGAAGTCGAGGTCAGGCTCAGGTTGGGCGGGGACACGGCGGCCTCCCTACTCACTTTCCTAAGGACGTTCTCTGAGGGGCGCTGCACAGAGGGCACCTGGGGCACCATCCTGTAGCCATGGCTCCACAAGACCGCGCTCCACACACACCGCAGAGCGACCCCAAGAGTTCAGCCCGGAACCCACGTCAGTGCCTGGGAAGCAGCACTGGGACCTTGGTGGAGGGCCAGACAGATTCGGCGAAGAATGCCTGTGCCCTGGGACTGGCCAGCACGTCCAGTTCCCTCCCTCCTCTCTCTTGTAATCACATACATGAGACATAAGGAAACGCTGAAAGACGAGTACAGTGAGCGTCCCTAATGTACCTGCCTGACAGAACAGTTGACATTTTCCGGTATTTACTTCTGCCTCTATCTCTTCTTTATTCTGAAACATTTCAAAGTAATAGATGACGTGACATTTCAGCGTGCATTTGCAAATCGTATGCACATTGCCCTGCATTTCCATATGTCGTTGTGCTCCTTTGTTAAACGCTCATGTTCCAGATGAGGAAGGGAGCTGAAGCACAGAGAAAGAAGTTACGCGGGAAATTGCAGACCTGCATTTCCATCTGGCTCTCAGTAGCTCTGAAGGCTGTAGGAAGATTTTTACAGTGATCTTTCTGACTGCGTGGAGAAGGCCTGAGGTCAGTGCCTACCCTTTCTCAACCTCCCTGGCACTCTCTTATCTCCCTTTTCAGCGAAGAGAGGGCGCTCCTCAGGTGCAGAATGCTTGCAGGCACAGAGTCTCTCTCAAACTTAATAAGGTATTTTAACATTTATATTTCGTTTTATACTTACCTATCATTTATGGCTATATTTTCGCATATGTCCATGTTTTATATTTTAAAAATGCGTGGCAGTGGATATAAAGATTTTTTATATATATTTACTTAAGTAAAAGTGTTATAATATTGGTAGTACCTGGCAAAAAATTATAGCAAAATTGTCCCTCTGATAGGGGAATTACTGAAGCTTTAGAAATACTGTTGCAAACCGTGTGAAAGGGCTGCTGTACGTATAAACCACCCTTCCTCTGGCCGGGTCTGAACCTTAGGGGTGTTTCTGATTCCTAGTCCTGTCCCCACCTTGTCTTGGCTGCCTGGGGGAAGAGGAGAAGTCGCCATTGGTGTGGCCTCAGTCGAAGGAGAAACTGTGCTGAGTCTTCTCCATGGCCCCCTTTCCCACCTGTCCTGACATATTTCTTCTGTTTTTCATTCCAAGTGTCAGCGACTGTTTTGTGTCAAATCTGCCATGAAATGTGCATCTTTCCCATAAGCAAAGGAAGAGGTGGAGGTGCTTACTCATCCCTCAGCCCTGGTTGATTTCTCAGATGCATTCTAAATAGCCAAGCAGTCCCTTCTAATAATAGCAATAACAACCATGTTAGTGATAATTTCCTGTGGCCCAGACATGCAAACCAGTCCGTGTGCAACTGGCCTTTTCCCACGGCTTCAGTAGAGGCTGATGTTATTCCTGTGGCCCAGCCGGGGCACCATCCTGAAGAAGGCAGAGCCAGCGTGCTGTGGGAGTTGAGGAAGAGACCTGACACCTGAGCACATCCGCTGTGCCTGGCCCCTGAATTTGCTGTGTGTGGTGCACAATAACTAGAAATACACTTAATCCTAGATTGTATCAGTTGTAAAAGGTCTAGTAAAATTTTACAAAAGAATATCCAGAGAGAAGATTGTTTTTAATAAGAAATATCAAGAGAGTGGGGAAAAGAGGGCGATTAAAAAAATAGTAGAGCTGCGCACAGTGACTCACGCCTGTAATCCCAGCACTTTGGGAGGCTGAGGTGGGCGGATAACCCGAGGTCAGGAGTTCGAGACCAGCCTGGCCAACATGGCTAAACCCCATCTCTACTAAAAGTACAACAATTAGCCTGGCATAGGGGCACATGCCTGTAATCTCAACTACTCAGGAGGTTGAGGCAGAATTGCTTGAACCCGGGAGGTAGAGGTTGCCATGAGCTGAGATCATGCCACTGCTCTCCATCCTGGGCTACAGAAAATAAAAGTTGGTTTCTAAGAGTTGAAAGAAGCCATTTAGCAAGAGGGTGCCACTGAGGGAGCTCCTGAGTGAGGTAGCCAAGGACCCTAAACGAGGGCCCACGTCACTGTGATGTGTCAACACAAAAGGCGGGTGTGGAACCCAGTGGGGCATGAAAGAGGGCGTTGTGAAGGGCCCTGGGTGCACATGCCTTTGAGAGGGAGCGAACAGGGAATGACAAGGTTTGGGTTTTGTAAGAGCATGCGAAGCCAGTGTCATTATAGAGGTAGTTCCCCTGAACCCACAATGAGTCATGTCCCCGGCCGATACGGCTCAATTTGTTGTGGGTTGAAAATCCCATATTTCTAAGGCTATCTTTCTGCTGCTGTGACGTGGTGGCCATGAGCTGGTAGAATGAGGCTCACTCTTGAGTGTCCTGGGTGAGCTGAACGTGGTGGCTGGATCTAAGGCTACGGTCTGCTTGGATTGCACGCTCTGCCCCTGCCATCTCCCGGGGCTGGCCCACACCGAGATCTTTCATTCTCACGGCAACCTTTGTAGGAGATACTGTCGTGATCTTCCTAGTTCACAGAAGCATGAAGAGCAGTTCACTGTCCTGCCCACGTTTGCAAAGCTGGTAAGTACCCTAGTCGCAGGCAACCCAGGCAGCCGGATTCTGGATCCACACTCAAAATCTCCGAGCTATCCAGATCCTGCCCTGGTCTGGACCTTCCCCCAAATCATAGTCCTTTGGCAAATGTTTCATGTGAGAGGAGACTCCAGATTGGCCAGGGTTTTCATGCAGAGCAACTGTGTGGATGGTGGCATCATTTCCCAAGGTGAGGAACTGGATGGAGCAGTTCCGGGGGTGGGAGGAGCGAATCACGATTTCCACTTAGCTTGAGACGCTTATTAGACAGTAAAGTGGAGATCAGAGTCAGCAATGGCAAAACTAAGAACAGAGCCTTGTAAAATGTATCGTTCCCCCCAGACTCTTTTCTACTCCATCATGAATTTCTGCAGACACACTTGCACATACACATGCATGGCAAAATGTCAAACATTGATTATTGAAAATAAGGGATGGTACATGAGTATTCATTGTGTTCTTTTCCATAATATTTGAAATTTTTTGAGTAAAACTTGACTTGAGAATTCTTCAGGAAACCTGTCCTGCCCTCTCCCTTTGCCCCAATGCTCTGTGCTGGTTCCCACGGGCTGGTGTGGGTTCCAGGCAGAATATTCAGGGTGGATCTGGGGTGTGTGTGGGGTGTGGCCTGCTGGAGCCAAGGCTACCACAGGAGCTCTCGGGGATGGGCTTCAGGGCCATCCTGGGCCGTGGCTTTCTGCACAGCTCTCCTTGGACGTGGTCCTTGGGAAGGTGAGGAGGGAGTAACTGTGACGTCTAAAGTCCAGGCTCGGACTACTTCTGTCCCTGGGAATCAGTGACATGTGAAACTGTGGCTAGATTTTTCATAGATTTCTAATACGTATTTAAAAAGCCTCCAGAAGCTTTTATTTAGCTAAAGTTTGGCTTTATGTTAAGTGGGAGGCATTTGGCACAGAACTTGCCTGTTAAGGAAGAATATAAATCCACTGACAACCTTAGCTCTGATAAAAGGGAATGTGAGAGGCTGGAGTCTTCTCTAGGGAGTGCTAACCTCCAAAACAGCTGTGGGGAGCCATGTGCAGGAAAGCCACCCTGAGTCGAAGAGGACCCGCTCAGTGGTGTGCCTTGTGCCCCTGGCCATCTCTCCAAGGCAAAACGAACAGGCACAGTGCTTCTAGTCCTGCCCACTGGGAAGATTTCCTTTCACCATTGCCTTTCAGAGCTGTCTCAAAGTGGAATGGTAGTGCTGCAGCCCACTCCCAGGTGGCGTCTAGATGCCAGGCAGATCTGCCTGCCAGACAAGCCTGTTTCTTCCCCCATCATCATGGAGCACTCCCCATGAAGCCATATATATGGGGTGAGAGAGGGAATGCAGTGTAGCAAGGAAAGGAGGCCTGGGCGTCTGAGGACCAGTGAATCTGGGGGGCGGGCATAGGCACCTGCTGGAGGTCAGACCATATATACCACTTCCGCTCGATGATGGAGCTCTGCTTTCCATTCTCAACTTTACGGCGTGGTGGGTAGAAAGTGCCCAACAAATGACATGCAGCTCTCTAAAAGCTGTTTCTCTAAAGGAGAGTAGTTATCAGCACAGAACCACAGGTTTGCTCCCCAATCCTGTGAATCGACACTGTGATTTACCCTAGTGAGTTCTGCCGAACACTCCACACTGACACGTCAAGCAGCATCCATTCTTATGGGTTCTGTGTCCCAAATGAGGAGCCTGCACGCCGGCCTGGACCTATTGTGGAACTCCCTCTCTTGTGGATCCCACCCAACGCTGGAAGTCTTGTGGATCACTAGGTAGATGGGTCGCAATAACACATCCTAATGAGGTATATATTGCCTCCCAAACCTAGAGAGGTTCACCAGGGGTTGTGCCTCTTTCTTAGCGGTAGAAGGGGCCGGATACAACAGCATGCCCTTCAGTGTGGAAGGAATATGTCGACATACCTCAGACCATTGAATCCTTCAACTTTTCACGGCAGTAGAAAGGTTCTGAATTTTTTGTAGCATAATTGTTTAATTCTTTTGTATGCTGTTGTATGTTATTTGTGGATTTTTGGTGGAATCTTACCAATGTGGCTAGAAGTCATTTCTTCCTGTTCATCAGATCCAGTCAATATAACATCCTCAATGCAATTGACCAGAATAATGTTCGGCAGCATGAAAAATGTGACCAAGATCCTGCAGACCAGGGCTAGAGAGTTGATATACCCCTGCAATGGGACAGTGAAGGAAAATTGGTGGCCTTCTCAGCTGAAAGCAAATTAATTTTCATGGTGTTTACTAAGAGTAGAGAAACAGAGTACTTGCCAGACCCACAGCAGCACGCCAGGTGCCAAGGGCTGTATTGATTTACTCCAGCAATGAAACTGCATTTGAAATAACAGCTGCAATTGGAGTCACCATCTGATTACATTTCTGATAATTCACTGTAATTCTGTTTACCTCACTGGTCAAACCAGCGAGTCAAATGGGGATTGGTAGGAATCGTCACCTCTGATCTTTCAGGGGTCCTAAGTTGGCACTAATCTCTACAGTCCCTCCAGGAATGAGATATGGCTTTTGCTGTGCTTAAATTCTTATGGTAGAAGCTACTTAGTGGCTTTTACTTGGATTCTTCTATTGAAATAAGCTAAGCATACAAATCAAAATGGCTGCTGCTTCACTTTCACCCTCCAAATCTCAGGCAAAATGTCTCTTGAGGCTTACCTGAACCAGAAAGGAATTCTGGGAAGAGTGGCTCAGCCTGACCAAGTTGACAGGTAAAGCTATTTTAAACCATTTCAAACTGTGGTCATCTTTACACTTCAGCGTGCTTTAGCACATTATGACGTTCTGCTGTGTAATTGTGTGCCACTGTGGTGCTGTGTTATCTTATTTTACAGATAAGGAAACTAAAGCTCAGCGATAAGAGAACTTGTCCAGTTTACACAGTAAGTGAGGGAGCCAGAGTTTATATCCAGCTCTGCCTAGCTTCAAACCTGTGCTCTTTAGACCACACTCATGCCTTAGGGTGTGCACATCTCATGGTATTCACAAGGACTTCACATGGTAAATGGACACAGTGTTCAGTCATAAAATGAGAAAAGATACCCTTTCAGGTTACCTTTATTATTAATGTCAATGAAAAAGTCTCAGGCTAGAACTAGTATGTTTCTAACACTTCTCACCTCGCTAACATTCTTTTTTTTGAGGCAGAGTCTTGCTCTGTCACTGAGGCTGGAGTGCAGTGACGCAATCTTGGCTCACTGCAACCTCCACCTCCCAGGTTCAAGTGATTCTCATGCCTCAGGCTCCGAAGTTGCTGGGATTACAGGTGTGCACCACCACGCCCAGCTAATTTTTGCATTTTTTTTTTTTTTTTAAGTAGAAACAGGGTTTTCCCATGTTGGCCAGGCTGGTCTTGAATTCCTTACCTCAGGTGATCTGCCCACGTTGGTCTCCCAAAGTGTTGGGATTACAGGTGTGAGCCACCGCAGCCCACCAACTAACACTTTCTTGTCTCAGTTTAAAAAAAGAAAGCTTAGACCTTGGGCTTGGCAGTAACATACATATGCACACACATGCACACACATTTAGTTCATTTTGTGGTGGGGGCTTGCAATTCCTTTGGAAGTATATTTACTTGAAGAGAAAAGGAAAAAGAAAAGTAATTTTCTAGAAGAAAAACAACGAGTTCATTAACTGTGTGATAGTACAGGCAATCCAAAGTTGCGAATTCTACATGTGGATTACTTTGAGAATGTTTTCCTCACCATGCGTCTTTTCAGTGACAAGAGCACTTTCCTTGATAAAGAAAACATGTTTTATCCATAGCTTCAGTAATGAGGCCACTAAAATATTAATTTTCTGAGCATTCTTAAACATAACTGAATCAGCTTCAATTTGCCTAGATACATAGACATTTTAGTGGTTTATAGCAAAATGTAATAAACTGAATAACTGTAGGCTTTAATGTAATCTCACACAATCCTATTACGTTCCAATCACTTATTTGACCTTTTAAGGATGGTTCCCGCCTAAACAGACACGATCCTGCGATTCCGAATGTCTTCTTCCTGTGTTGTTCCAAGGCAATCGATAGATCAGAAAGAATTAGTACCTCACTGGGTCCTCCATTTGTAATATGCACTGTCCCAGGAAGGCACGATGCATCCCTCCCAGGCGTAATAAATGTTTACCGAGCACAGTTTGTGAAATGCTCTCCAGTTTTCATTCTCACAAATTTCAGGGCCATCAAAACAGCTTTCATTTCCTTGAAGTAATGAGCAAACCCAGGGTGAATCCTGTTGCTACTTACAATGCATTAGAAAGGTGGGAGGGTGGCTGAGGTCAACACAGCCTTTAAGCTGTAAAGAAGCTCCTTTTGAAAGTTAAACTTCAGGACTTGGGGAGAGGGTGAGAGGGGGTGAGGGATAAAAGACTACAAGTAGGGTGCAGTAACTACTGCTCGGGTGATGGGTGCACCAGAATCTCCACAAATCACCACTAAAGAACTTACTCTGCCGGGCGCGGTGGCTCACGCCTGTAACCCCAGCACTTTGGGAGGCCGAGGCGGGTGGACCACGAGGTCAAGAGATCGAGACCATCCTGGTCAACATGGTGAAACCCCGTCACTACTAAAAATACAAAAAATTAGCTGGGCGTGGTGGTGTGTGCCTGTAATCCCAGCTACTCAGGAGGCTGAGGCGGGAGAATTGCCTGAACCCAGGAGGCGGAGGTTGCGGTGAGCCGAGATCATGCCATTGCACTCCAGCCTGGGAAACAAGAGCGAAACTCCGTCTCAAAAAAAAAAAAAAAAAAAAACGTACTCATGTACCCCAATACCACCTGTACCCCAATAACCTACAGAAAAAATAAATAAAAAGCAAGTTAAGTGTATACTGTATTTAGAGGTAGACGTCAGGAGCAGTGAGACAGTCTACAGAGAACTATGCAGGTTTAGACCTGTGGATAGAACAATCAACATAAGATTCAGTTGTCCTCAATCACTTCCATGTAAGTGAAGAGTTTGCTAAATAATCATGATATTGATGATTATGAGTAAGTGAACGTACTCATCCAAAATTAAATACACTACCATTTGCTGACTATTATGTACCAGGTTCAGAGCTGTATCTGTGGTAAACAAAGCTGGATAAAATATGTCTGTCCCTGGAGACTCTTGGTTTAGATAGCAGGAAAGGTAGACTAAATAAATCATAGTACAATGAGATGGGGACAGAAATAAAGGTGAGTGCCAGTTGTGAAAGTGTGTGATGGGCTCTGCTTGGAGGAGCAGGGCAGAGGGGCATAAATGGGGTCTTGAACACTGAGGGGGAGTTACGGAAACTTTAAACAAAGGTGAAATGGAAGCTGCTTCCAAGCAGTGGGATTGATTTTAAAGTGTAATGAAGTCTTTCTAAAATGGTACTATCCTGGAAAAATCATTGTGTTTAAGGTTTATTAGGGCTGCCCTCATCTGCAGCTTGCAGGAAGCCCAGTTAGCAGTGCTTTCAAAAGGTAACTATTTCTTTGTTTCGGGCAACAAGAATTGTGATAGGAGGCCGGCTCGGTCTGGGATGCCGGTTGAGTGGTGCATTTGTAAAGTAGGCTCTTTTCACGTTTGCCCTCCACACAGAGTCGAGTCCAGCTTTAGCCCTCACATGTGTGTTTCATGGTCAAAGACTGATGCTGAGGCTTCAGGCTCACGATCTCATCACAACCAGGAAGACGGAAGAAGAACTGAAAGGGAGAAGGGATGTCACATTGGGGTCTGTTCTTTTTAAAGAGCTTTCCTGAAAGTTTCTTCAAGAGATTTTAACTAATGTCACTGGCCGGAAATAACTTGGCCATCCCACTTCAGTACAAGGGAGTCTGAAAACCAAGAATGTTAGCTTTCCAGCCCATCACTGAGGAAGGAAAGAGAGAGAGAAAGTGGGGCGGAGGTGTGGGCTGTGGCTTGTTTGTGAATAGCTAGTTCACAAAGTATAGCACAAAGGTCTTGTGAGAGTTTAGGCCACAATCACGTAGTTTTAGCATTAAATGTTTAGGTCTTACATAGTTAAGGTTCTCCAGAGGGGCAGAACTAATAGGATATATGTATATGTGAAGGGAGTTTATTAAGGAGAGTTGGCTCACATGATCACAGGGTGAAGTCCCACCATAGGCCATCTGCAAGCTCAGGAAGAAAGAAGCTGGTAGTGGCTCATTCTGAATCCAAAAGCCTCAAAAGCAGGGAAGCCAACAGTGCAGCCTTCAGTCTGTGACCGAAGGCAGGAGAGCCCCCAGCAAACCGCTGGTGTAAGTCCGAGAGTCCAGAGAACCTGTAGTCTGATGTCCAAGGGCAGGAGGAATGGGAGGAAGCATCCAGCAAGGGAGAAAGATGAAAGCCAGAACTCAGCAAGCCAGCTCATCCCACCTTCTGCCTGCTGGTTTTAGCCTCGCTGGCAAACAGCTGGATGGTGCCCACCCATATTGAGGGTGGAGTTTCCTCTCCTAGTCCACGGAATCAAATGTTAATCTCCTCTGGCAACACCCACACAGACACACCCAGAAACAAGACTACTAGCTGTCTATGCATCCTTCAATCCAGTCAAGTTGACTCTTAATATTAACCATCACAGGTCTAAACATCCAAAGGAAGTGAAAACACCATCTGAGTTCTTCATATGGTAGATTAAATAACTCACCTGCTCAGGTCCACACAGATAGCTAGAGATACAGCTGGAACTTGAATTCAGGTCATCTGCTTTCCAGTCTTGGTTGTTTTCTCCTTGTATTAATCTGTTCTCACACTGCTAGAAACAACTCCCTGAGACTGGATAATTTGTGAAGAAAAGAGGTTTAATTGGTGGATAGCTCCACAGGCTTAACAGGAGGCATGGCTGGGAGATCTTAGGAAACTTGCAGTCATGGCGGAAGGCAAAGAAGGAGCAAGCACCTTCTTCTCATGGCAGCCACACACAGGGAAGCCACACAGGGAGGTGACACACACATTTAAACCATCGGATCTCATGAGAACACACTCACTGTCCGGAGAACAGCATGGGAGAAACTGCCCCCGTATCCAGCCACCTCCCACCAGGTCCCTCCCGCAACATTGGGGATTACAAGTCAACGTGAGATTTGAGTGGGGACACAGAGCCAAACCATGTCACTCCTGTACACTAACCTGACGTGCTGGACTTAGATGATGGTTTACATCAATCTCAAATCAATCTACTAGTTATAAAATACTAAAAGTTTCTGTAATTATTAGAACCTGCATATATTGGAAAAACAATAGCTATAAGAAATAAAAAAATCTCTGGAAGAACCTGAGAAGACACCTGAGCTAATACTGGTGAAGTGGCTCGATGCACTGCAGGTATCTGGTGCCTTATTTATCCCTGGAAGGGAGATTAAAAAAATACCAGGCAAGAATAAAGCTTCCCATCTTTTGAGGCACAAAGACTGAAAACAAAGTTGGCTCTTCTAAGTAGTAGAATTCAAAGAGCCTAGAAAGTGATTGTCAGTTCTTTCTCCTAACCCTTCTTCAGATCTTTAAAAACATGATAATACTCCTCCACAAGAAAGCGGAGCCTGTTTCTGAGGAAGCACTCCTGTTTATCACAGAAAGTCTAAGTGTTTGTCAAATGATAGTTTGCAGAAAGGAAGACAATAGATAGGAAAAAAAATCAGCCAGGCACGGTGGCTCATGCCTGTAATCCCAGCACTTTGGGAGGCTGAGGCAGGTGGATCATGAGGTCAGGAGTTCAAGACCAGCCTGACCAACAGGGTGAAACCTCACGTCTACTAAAAATATAAAAATTAGCCAGGCATGGTGGCACATGCTTGTAATTCCAGCTACTTGGGAGGCTGAGGCAGGAGAATTGCTTGAACCCAGGAGGCGGAGGTTGCAGTGAGGTGAGATCACGCCACTGTACTCAAGCCTGGGCGACAGAATGAGACTTGGTCTCAAAAAAAAAAAAAGAAAAATCCACAAAGACATTTTTCTTTCCTTTGCTGTAACAAAACCTGTTGCTAAATTACTGCCTCTTATAATAATAAGGGAAGGCCATTGAACATCCATGCTACAATTTAAACTATGGAGAACACACAGGTTATTTTATTAAATGCATGCAAATTTTGATTTGGAAAGAAAATTATATGAAAATGTTGCAGTGACTGAATAAAGAAGCAAGCATGCTGAATATAACCTTCCACTTCTAAGCATTTTGAGAGAGAAACGTAATAGAAACAGATACACAATTCCTGTATGCATTTCTGTACATTCTATCCATCATCACACATTCATGCACATGGTTAACCAGATAGTCTCTAAAGTCTGTCAGCTTCATGAGTCAAGTGTGTTCATGGCTTATTCTTAAATTTAACGTCTTTGCACCCCAGTAGCATTTTGCACTTTCAAGTAATATTTTAAAATTTGTTTAAGTTACTGTAATACTCACTCTGAATTCTACCATTTTGAATCTCTACTCTTGTGGTTCCTGTGGCATACCACCGATGCAGTAGAACGTTATTATAATTCCGTAGTAAAATAGTTATATTTTGTTGACTTGTGCTTAGCATATTGTGAGCACCCAGAGATTGACAGATTGAATCAACGTATCCGTGTCTTTTCAGCATTCCAGTGGTGTGCCTTGCAGTGAAACAGAATGATTCATTTCACTGAAATACTCTATGGAGCTCTAGGTAGACTTTGAGTGTGACTGTATTCCTCTCATCTCATTGAGGTGAAGCCACTGAATAAATTTAAAGTGTGAATAAATTGCATTTGTTATATGTATTATATGCACAATAGCAAGCATGAATCATGGCATTGATCACAGTAATGGGATTTTTACACCTATCGTCAGTTCTTATGCTTTAAGCCTCTGGTTTCTGGTACAGTCTTTATTGCATTGAATGAGATGAAATGCTTGTTTTGAGTCTCTTCATCAGGTTGGAAGGGGACGGAGTGGCGGATGTGATAGACCACAGGCCGCTCAGTGACAGGGTCCGCACTGCCTGCAGAAAAGACTGGGGCGTCTATGGCTTTTGGAAAATGAAAAATTCCAAATGTACACATATAGAAACAGAAGAATAAAATCCCAGATCCCCTTCTCCAGCTGTGACTAATATCCACTCATGGCCCATGTTTTTGCATTGATATTTCCCCTCACCTCATGTTTGCATGCAAATCTGTGTTTACATTCATAGCTTTTCAGAATGTAATTCTAAAAGATAAAGACCCTTCATGAACATAATCATAGTCCAATATAAAATCTGTCGAAATCAACAATTCCTTACTGTAACTAAATGATTATCCAATCTGTGTCCCAATTTTCCTGATTTCTCAAATTATTTTTTTGTGGTTTGTTAAAATCAGGATATGCGTAGTATTGCAATCCATGGCTGTGCCTCTCAAGAGTCATCTAATTTAGATTTTTCTCTTCATTTATTTCCTGCAGTGCATTTGTTGAAGAAGGTCTGTCTGTTCTGTCCCGCAGTCCATATTTTGCGGAGTGCACCTGCGGCGTTGTTCCCTTCTCCTCCATGGTTACTGTAATCTAGCTATAATCTAGTAGTCAGATCAATTTCAGGTTTGATTGTTGCTTGGCAAGACCACTGTGCAGGTGCCACCCTGTTCTTCCACCAGGGGGCACAGAAGATCTGGTGGTCTGTCTTTTTATGATGGTGCCAAGACTCTTTTTGACAAGTGCCCATGGTCTGATGGACATTTAGTAGCTATTAGTAAGTTATAATATGCCTGAATATCACAGGTTGTGTGTGAGTTTTAGTCTTGCAAGTAATTGGTATGCATTTTTTAAAAAGCTTAGACTATTAATCACTGTCATATCTTTATTATTTTTTCTGTGTGGTTTTTAAGGTGTCCCCACCAGGCCTGCTTAGCAGAAAGCACAGTTTCTCTGTGTCAAAGCCTTTTCCATGTTGCTGTGCAGAAGGCATCTCTATCTTGCAGCCTCTGAGCCAGCCCAGACTCCCCTCTGCTGTCCATGGTCCTCTGGGTCTGTATCAGGCCTTTTGAACTAAATGGAAAGTCGGGGCTTCATTTCTTACTGTTTCAGGAGGCTTCTTGTCACTCAGACAAAGAGACGCACTTTCCTGGCAAACTGGCTCTGCACACCAGAGAGAATCAGCGCTTCAGTCTAGAGGTCTTGAACTCTTTTCTCCCAACAGGGGCGTCAGCTCTTTGTGTTTACACACAGGTAAGAGGCTCCTCGAGTGCTCAAAGCTGCCAAATGAATGTCGGCTCCAAGGTGACTTTCTGTACTTCCAGCCTGAGAAGCTGTTGCAAGCTTTCTTGTCTTTCTTTTTTCTTAATGAAAACCTTTTTAATGAAGAAAAATACTGTACATTGAGTCCCATTTTACCTACCTGACTACAGACACACACACACACACGCACACCCCGAAATGAAGTATCACTAAATGAAACTTACTCTGTTTTCTTTTCCTTTCTTTCTTTTTCTATTTTTTAAGATGCTCTTATTTTTGGTGCCCAGGCTAGAGTGCAGTAGCAGGAGCAGAGCTCACTGCAGCCTCGGCCAGTCCTGGGTGCAAGCAATCCTCTTGCCTCAGCCTTCCTCCTGAGTAGCTGGGATCACAGGCACATGCCCCTATGCCTGGCTAATTTCTTAATTTTTTTGTAGAGACAGAGTCCCACTAGATTGCCCAGACTGATCTTGAATTCCTGGGCTCAAGCATTCCTCCTCCCCCCGGGCTCCCAAAATATTGGGATTACAGGCATGAGCCACAGCACCCAGCCAGAACTTGTTCTCAGTGTGCCGGAAGCTTGCTGCTTTTGGCTTTTCCTTCCTGTTTGCTTCCTTCTTATACTATATCATTAACAAAAAAGGTGGTTAGGCCACTAAGTTGATTTTACTACCGAATAATAACTTGTAAACTGCAAATTGAATAATACAGCTATAGGAAAACTTTCTGGCTAATTAGATCCATGCACATAGCAGATGCTCAATAAGTATTCATTGATATACATGCTCCCTTCTTTTACAGGTCTTTGTGAGATAAGACATATATACTTTAAAAATAAAGATACTATACGAGAATGAATTATATAAAGAAGCTACACGCATGAGATCTCAAGGCAGTAGTATAAGATTAAAAAAGTGAAAAAGGTGGCCGGGCACGATGGGTCATGCCCGTAATCCCAGCACTTTGGGAGGCCAAGGCAGGCGGATCACGAGGTCAAAAGATCGAGACCATCCTGGCCAACATGGTGAAAACCCGTCTCTACTAAAAAAATACAAAAATTAGCTGGGCATGGTGGCATGCGCCTGTAGTCCCACCTACTTGGGAGGCTGAGGCAGGAGACTTGCTTGAACCCGGGAGGCAGAGGTTGCAGTGAGCCAAGATCGCGTCACTGCACTCCAGCCTGGTGCCTGGTGACAGAGCGAGACTCTGTCTCAAAAAAAAAAGTGAAAAAGTGATGTAGATGGTAATTTTGTGAGTTAAACTAATAAATGCTTATCCTTTACAATAGAAATCTAAGCCATTTATTTTTCATGATTAAAAATCTGGTATTTGGTATCAATTCTTATTTAATTTTTAGTTGTGAAACAATTATGCCATAACTAGACAAGTCAGCTAACAGTAAAGGGAGAGAAGGGAGTCCACTTGTAAATTATACTTTTGTTTAGGCTCCAAGTCCAAAGGGTAATAATTTACTGAAAAATTTATTGAAGAATATGTTCTGATGTGTTCTGTTCTAATTTTAAAATTTAACAAATAAGGAGACATTTAGATTTCTCCAGTGCCTTACTGTGTAACACAGCCTAGTCCAGCAAATAAACTTTTCTATGCAAATATCCCAAATCTGAGTAGATATTTTTTTCTTAAAACAGCTTAGGGATGTAGAACATTTATTCTGCTAACAGATCTGTAAAGATTTAGCAACAAAGAGTCAAGACAGTAGTTTCTAAACTTTGTGGTATTACCTGGGAAACTTTAACAAATTCTGTAAAATTCACAAATGCCTGACTTTTGCCTCTGGTAATTCTGATTAAACTATATGAAGGGAAATTTTATTAGCTCCCCAGGTAATCTCTATGTGTGATGAAATATGGGAACTGTGTTAAGGGAACTGCCTCTACCCCTGCAAGTCTTGAATATCTTACAGTGACGGTCTGTCCTTGCCTTGGCTAAGATGTACAGATGAAAATGTTTCAGTTAAAAATAACTCCCTTTTAAAAAAGGAATGCTTATATACTGTTGGTGGGAGTGTAAATTAGTTCAGCCCTTGTGGAAGACAGTGTGGTGATTCGTTAAAGACCTAAAGACAGAAATTCCATTCAACTCAGCACTCCCATTACTAGGTATAGACCCAAAGGGATGTAAATCATTCTGTTATAAAGACACATGCACGTGTATGTTCACTGCAGCACTATTCACAATAGCAAAGACATGGAGTCAACCTAAATGCCCATCAATGACAGACTGGATAAAGAAAACGTGGCACATATAGACCATGGAATACTATGCAGCCATAAAAAATGGGATGATGTGCTTTGCACAGACATGGATGGAGCTGGAGGCCATTAGCACACTAACACAGGAACAGAAAACCAAATACCACGTACTGTCACTTATAAGTGGGAGCTTAATGATGTGAACACATGGACAAATAGATGGATACCGCACACACGGGGTCTTTCAGAGGGTTGAGGGTGGGAGGTGTGAAAGGATCAGGAAAATAACTAATGGGTACTAGGCTTAATAGCTGGGTGAGGAGATGATCTATACAACGAACTCCCACGACACACGTTTACCTATATAAAAAACCTGCATGTGTACCCCTGATTGAGAAGGAAAGTTAAAAAAATCTTAAGATGTCTATGTACAATTTCAAGAGAATTTAAAAGATATGAACAACAATAATGACAACAGTACTAGTAACAAAACAACAATCAAACCTTTTTTTCACATTAAAAAACTCTCTTAGGACAGATGAGATATTTGAAAGAGGAGTGGCATTTTGATTTTTAGATTATCGAGGTAATCTAAAAATTCCTAGCTATTAACCTAGGAAAGTAAGTGTTTACCATGTAAGTGTGAGAAGGCTGTTTGCTGAAAAACGGTCGTAAACTCCCAGATCAGCAGAATGTTATGTTTGCCTCAGGGCGATCTTGTGTTTCTGGGGAACTGGGATGAATTATAGAGAGATAGAGGCACTGTGTGAAGCAGAGGTAGTTTTGGAGGTGCTGCTGAAAAGTGTGTGTCAAAGTCTCATAAATGTGCAAATAATTGGTCTTTTATTGAATCAGATGGGTTGGTTCATTTAATAGAGATGGGAAAAACTAGAGGAAGGGCAATCCAAAGTCGAATTGAGACTGACAATTTGAAAAAGAGCAGTAGGTGTTGAATATAGTCTGGGGATTCATCACTCTCTAAGTTCTATTAATATGCTCATTTAACCAATTGCAAGGTGGCAGAGTTTAATGAACGGGCAGAGAGTCACTTTTTTGGCAATGGAAATGAAGTGCTCGATCAGTTGTTCTCAGACTGGCTGAACATTAGAATTACCTGGGGAGCCTTGAAAAGTCCCTGGGCCTCATATCAGTTACATCAGAGTCTCCAGGCCGGGGACCAGGCCTCAGCACTGTGGGTGACAGCCAGGGGTAAATGACATTACTGGGGTGGAGTGAGAGTGCATAGTTACAGTGGAGTTCTGGAATTTAGGAGACCTTCTAAGCGTTAGAACACGAGGTATCCTAAAGCATCGTCCTTTTTAGAGAATTTTTGGGTGAGGGGTTTATTCTTACAAATGTTTTATAGAGTGTGATCCATAAGATTAGGGGCTCTAAGAGAGTGAACCCTAACGTACCTGTAAGTTTCTCTCTATACCTGTGGTATGGTCAGGAATGCACTAAGTTTCTACTTGTGTGCCAACTCCATCTGATGGGTGGTGACTTCCTGGGGTATGGTGCGAGAGAGGTTCTGAGGCCAAGTCCAGCTACAGCAGAATGAGTTCTGGGCTTGTCATGGCATCTGCTGTGGGGGTGGAGGTGGAGGTGAATTGTGGAAGTAGTGATGCCACATCTTTCCTACCTTTGATATCCAGAAAAGAGCTGGAGTTCTAAGTTAGAAAGGGATAAATGAGAATTCCAGTTCTGCCTCTGTCGTGATTTAAGAATATGTCGTAAATTCTCTGATGTACTTCCCCTAAAGAAATGGAGTCTACTTCCATTGAAAGTGGGCTGGACTTAGTGATTTGCGCCTGAACAACAGAATGTGATGGAGGCGACACTATGTGGTTTTCGAGGCTGAATACTAAAATGAATAAACTTCCATTTAGCTCTCTGAATTTTGGATTACTCACTCTGAGGGAAGCCAGCTGCCACGACATGAAGATACTCAAGCAGCCTGTGGTGTGGCCCACATGGGGTGTGGCTGAGACCTCCTATCAGCAGCCAGTGTCGGCACGCCAGCCATGTGAGCGAGCCACCTTAGAAGCAGATCCTCCATCCCCAGTCAAGCTTTGCAATGACTGTGGTCCCAGTCGACATCCTGACTGCAACCTCATGGTAAATCCTAAGCTAGAACCACCCATCCAAGGCATTTGCAAACTCCTGATCCACAGAGACTGTGTGAGGCAATAAATGTCTATTATTGATTTAAGCTACAAAGTTTTGGAGTAACTTGTAATACAGCAATACGTAATGAATACAACTATTTAGTAGCTCTGTTCTCTAAGTTTTGAGTTCCTCTTCTGTAAAATGGAGATAAGTATCTCATAATGTATTTTGAGGAGAAAATGAGTGAATAGTAAAGCCTGTCATTGATTGAGTATATGCGAATATCATTCCATGATCTTGTACTGTGCTAGCTTGTGCGTTAACTGAGGGTGTTACAGACAAAAACCTTTGGAATGCAGGCTGATCTACACGAGCAGCCCCAAAGCACTGGCGAAGGATGATGTTCTCAGTGATGGTGTGCTCTTCTTGCCTTGTATAGTGTGTTTCTACCAGTGTGGTCTTTCTATCATAGGTCTATCAATCATAGGTCTTAATGTTATAGGTGGGGAGAAGTTAGACCTGGGCATTAAATTTGAGTGTTATCTTCCACATGTATAGAAATTCCTTCATTGTGAGAATTCAGAGGGGTGGTGAGGGCAGGCTGAGCCACATCATTACAAGGACAGGGAACCATCGTGGGATGACTCAGGATTTGGGAAGGAGTGTTGCCTATAGCCTTGGTGTTTTTTATTTGGAAAGACCAGGATTCAAATACCAACCTTTCCCTTTGTCTATGTTGTTTTGGTCAAATTACTAACCTCTCTGAGCATCTAGTATCTTGTGTACGAAATGTGACTAGTACTATCTACTTTGTAAGAGTGTTGTGAGTTGTATTGAATCCAAGTATGAAAGAGTTTCTAGTATAGTCTTGGTATTTAATAAATTGTCAATAGATGTGATTAATTTTTCATTTTGAGCCTCAAGCGAGTTCATTTCACACAGCAATCCTAGGAGGTAGGTGCTGTTATTATCCTTACTTTATAAATGAGGAAACTGAGGCCAGAGGCATTCACCCAAGACTATGCAGTTGATTTATGGGGAGAACAGAATGTGAACTCAGGCTGACTTTCTCCTAAATCAAATATCTTTCCTTCTCACTATTCCTTCCAAGGAAAAATTATGCATATGTATATATCTTAAGTCTCTTTATTGGAAGAGGTGAGATCTAAATATATAGGCAAATAGTGTACACACACACACACACAGACACATAAACACACACACACACACAGACACATAAACACACACACACACACACACACACACAATGTTTTGAGTCAAGGTCTTGCTCTCTTGCCTAGGCTGGAATGCAGTGGCACAATCGTGGCTCATTGCAGCCTCGACTTCCTGGGCCCAAGCGATCCACCCCACTCAGCCTCCCAAGTGGGACCACAGGCGTGTGCCACCACGCCTGGCTCATTTTTCCATTTTTGCAGAGATAGGGTCTCGCTATGTTGCCCATGCTGGCCTCAAACTCTTCGGCTCAAGCAGTCCTCCCACCTCAGCTTCCCAAACTGTTGGATTACAACGGTTATTATTTTTTGGCATGAGCCACTGTGCCCAGCCAAAAATATTATTTCTAATATTTGTAGTTTCTGAGTAGTTGGTCCCTGACCAGGCTTTGGATTTACTCATACTTGGCTCTTTTCTTCATTCTGTCCACTTGGAACTTCTAAGGGAATCTGCTTTGAAATTAGACCAGTGCGTGAAGGCTTTGGGACTATTTCACAGCGGTTCAAGGGGACCACATCCGTCAGTCACATTCCTTGACTGCTCCCCAGACCTTGAACTCGTACCTGTAACAAGGCACTGGGCAGGAGTTCCGTGAGCCAACAGCTTGGCCACATGCTTTGGCTTTTGTGAAATGCTTTTCTCTTAGACGTTTCCCTGTGGAGTTAAGTGGACAATTGGAGGTCACAGGGCCTTTTGTCTAGATTTCCAGTTTTTTCTCTGAGAGGTGGGTCGTGGGTCT